AAAAAAAAAAAAAGACAGATGCACAGACATATCTTATTGAAAAACATATTAAGAAAGATGTCGCGAAAAAAAATGCTGACCAAATCAAATGAAAAATTTAACGTTGGCTCGCGAAACGAAGGGTTAAATCGCGTCACTCGAAGCCCGATATTATCAAACTCATCGTTCGTTCGATTTCACGAACGAACTGGCACCGTTTCGAACCAGGGATGGAAAAACGTATCACTAGCTAGACAATCGTAGACGTTTCTTATGCGAGCTGTGTTTGTATATGACATAAATCAAAAAATATATTAGAATGATGTGTTTGTCGGTAAGGATCGATCGTGCGATAAGGACGCGATCTACTCCTCAAGAGGGAGGGGATCTCGTCTCCTTGCACGCAGAGATTTCCAAAGGCGGGAGAGAGAACTTTCAAGCTCGATGGAAGAGAATAAAGAATGTACAATAATAACTGGAGCATGTACGTATCGAAATCGATGATTTAAGTGTGTGTTAAATCGAGTGTGAAAGAGTTTGAAACGAGCGAATTTTGATTCGCGTGGACGAAATTCGTTCCTTGAAATTGCAGGTCGTTGGATACAGCCTTTAAAGTACGAATATCGAGCTTTAATGACGAAAATCACAGCTGACGGAAAAGCGAATACGTTGGAACGATAAAAGGTGCTGATCGTATTGTATTTGATGTGAAATAAAATTGACGGAGAATTTTATTGCAAACTCAGATTCCGTTTGTAGTTTGCGCAAATGATACAGCGATAATTTTGTATTATAAAATTCGTGTCGGGAAATTTGGAAAATACATATGTATTAGTCACGTGGCAATCTGTATTAAACCTAGAATGACTAAGGGGTTGAGACTCTGCGAATTCACCGGGTGAAATATATGGAAAATATATATTATTTCTCTCGTTTCGAAAAATTCGACAGGTGTCTGTTAACTTTAACAAATTTGATATTTCGTAACGCTGTAGAGCCTTAATTATTGCACTAATTATTAACTTAATTATTAGACTAATTGAGAGACAACTATGTTCGGATAAATAAAACAACAGCTTTCTGTTTTGAATGACATTATTACAACATTGAACTTGTTCAACTTCAATAATTTTAACAACCATAATATTGTACGTAAAGTATGAAACGTATTTGGATAACAGAATGCATCTTCTGAGATTCTATAAAAGTAATCTGTATGTTAAAGTACATTCAAAAATTATCTTCTGTCTTAAAATACCTTGGTGGACTGCTCCACTCCTTGATATTTTACAGACTTAAAACTTAGTCTTTCTAGGATTAAAGATAATTCCACGATAATTATAATCCCATTTAAAACGAAGAGGAGATCAATAATTCAAACAAAGTACGTTCTAATTTCAGCTGGGAACAGCAGAAGTAGGTAAAATAGAATCGTATAACAATAACACGAGAGCGGAGAGATCATAAAACGCAGCATCGGAGTGGGGAGAAGAAGCTTAAAACGAAAGCTTGGAAAGCACTTTAAAGGTTGATATCCCGTAATCTCTTTAAAGCCGTCTACGAACTGCGAAAAATAGGTCGTTTGTATTGAATTCTTCGAAACGTCGTTCACGTCGTTTTCACATTCAAACCGTAGAAAATTGCTGTCCTAAACAAGATATTGTTGTTCCTCGAAAATATCATTCGGTGTAAGCACGTCTGTCTGCGACGAAATTGCTGACAATTGAATTTCCGTTCGTTTGATCCGAGCAATAACGACGGTTATCCACCAGGCGGGATTTTTAATAACGAGCATCTGAGTTTTGGCTTTGTCATTTGAACGACGAAGGAAAAAAGAGGGAGGGAAAGAAGTGAGCAACGGAAGAAAGATATAGGGAACTCGTGCTGTAATCGTGCGATAAACGATAAAATGAGAATAACATACGTCATCGATGTCGTTATAGCTAAAAGAAAAAAAAAAAAAAAAAAAATGATGTCTTTAGGGAATAAAAGTTAGAGAATAACGCGTAACAATTTTAGGACACCGTCTCCTAGGAACTCGGACATTAAATCTCTATCTATCGAACCTCTGCTTTCGTGCGTACACGTGAAGATCAACTGGAGGAGAAAAACCAAAAGGAGAGAAAAAAAAATAATAATAATAATAACGATCGACATTACAGTATGTATGATCATTTCACGAACATTTGCATTATGTCATTTTACATTATCGAGTCGCTGGTAAAATCGGGCGATTAAACGATACCCCCCAATATGCGGATGAATCGATGGAAACTCGCGCCGGAATGTACGAATGTGAATGTCATTAATTTAATTTAAATTTATTAATTTATTAATTTCTTTTCTACATCGAACGATGATGTTCGCAAGTAAGCCAGGTACGATTTAATGGGATACGTAAGGATGTTTGGTATCGATTTAATGATAATTATATTCATTAGCTACAGTGGCATAAGTAGTTGAATATAAATATTAATTATTAGACTACCCATCATTTGTTCAATCAATTTATATTATCGAGGTCCGCTTTCTTAAAGAGTTAGAATTCGTTGAATACGTTTTTCATTGACGTTTCTTTCCTCTAGATTCTACAAATTTCGAGAGATTAACCTATTATAAATACAACAACATTATAAATACAAAAATTCGAATTATAATTCATAAAGTTACATTTCTCAAACGAATTACTTCAATTATCATAAACATGAAGTCATTAAAAAAGTATAATAGAAACAGTGGAACTTCATTTATCTGAATCAAATTTTAACTAATACCCGATCAAACGAACTCTTGCCGATTGAATTACACTTATTTGAATCTGTACTTTTGTTATGCGAACGAAAAATCATTAGTAGAGTAGAGGGTCAATGGACTCCTATTATATAAAATATTTATACTCCGGCAAGTTCGTACGAGCTCGATGCTCTATTGTAATTAATAATTCAATAAATTCATTAGAACGTACTAATTTCCCTATTCACTGAGCACATTAGCACAGAAATCGAGATACCTGTTTCCGTCTAGCCAAACAGAACAAGCCGCGACACAGATATAGCAAATAAAGCACCACCGTTAAAACGAAAAATTAGCCGCGAGCTCGTTCGCCGCAAATAAACGAAATATACAAGACGAAGATAAGTCGCGTTTGTGCAAAATGGAATTAGGTGCTACGTATATATGCTCCGGTTCAAGAGTTACGTCGTGATTCGCACAGAAGACAATCCAATACATATATAGAAGCGTGTGACCCGAATTTAGAAATAAACGGAGAGAGTGAGAGAGAGTGAGAGAGAGAGAGAGAGAGGGTGTTGTGTCGTCGATATTTCGCGAAAACGGCCTGAAAGTTGAATAACCCGATGCTACAAGCCCGATGTTACGAGCGACGCTACCGATATCGAAAAACGAAAACAAGGAGAGAAAAAAAAAAGAAAAAGAAAGAAAAACGATACACAATAGGAAAAAAAAAAAAGCACAAAAGGTATAATTTTCGTCCGCCGTGTATTTTTGATACTACAATCGATAACTTCATTATTGCGTTGACGTCGAAGCGTGGCCGTGAGCGGACACGCGGTCGAGATTTCAGTTTTTTTCGGTGTTCGCCGGAGAAGCAGAACGGGAAAGGGTCATTGAAAATGGTACCTCGCGCGAAACAAACTGAATAAACCGATTCACTTTGGCCGGGCGGTGGCCACACATTCTTACGTGAATGTAATTACTCTCGGACACACAACGTGATTGTTCTCTGTACATAATGATAGAGCACAAAAACTTTTTATGTAAGACCTCGTGCTCGACGTGCGTGTAGAGCGCGAGGGACTACGAATATTCTAAAATAAATATTGTGATGACTGAACGAGATAGATTGCTTCGTTCTCCTGTTTCTCCTTTTTGTTGGAATTTTATTTTTTTTTTTTTAATTCGTTTGCTTTCAACAGGTATAACGCGGTACCGAGAAAACAGTATGTTTAATAACTCTTTCATTATTGAATTTTCCAAAGTTAGTAATTTGTATACTTGTACTTATCATTCTTAAACTTATCAATCCGATCATACAGCTATCCTGTTAGACCACAAAATCCGAATAACAGTATTGTCTTCTTAGTGAAATGATCTAGTCATCGCTGCTATCGTGATAAATTAAAAATGCTAATAGTAAATTACCTTGTTGGAATCTGTACAGCCGTGGTAAATGAGGATCGACAAATGTTGATGTATAAAACATTTAATAGCACAGGCCATATAACAAAATATCTTTAATGAAAAAAGAAATGATTCAAAAAAGGTTTCAATGGTATAGGATCGCAGAATATGCATAACATTATTTCACATCGTTGTGTGAAAACTTTGTATCCGAAAGTACAAAAATTATGTAAATTGTTCTTCGAAACAAATTAAATCAAAGTTATCAAAGTTATTTAATCAAAGTTCACTTACATGGTGCTATTTGGACAGTGTCCAATGGCCCTGGTTTCATGGTCCAACATCAACATCCGTTGTAAGACGCGAAGATCTGAAGATTGTAAAGATCAAGCAGATTTCACCTAGAATTTACTGGCGTGCACCAGGCAAAGATCTGGAATCTTGCTTACCAAAATTCTGTACGAAGCCCCACAATCCTAGAGTATTATCTAGCAAGATGTTACATCCTCGGGGAGTAGTAGTATCATAAGAGATCCTCTAGTCTTAGAATGGATCGATGCTACTTCCATGTCTCCATGGGCGTATCGATCGAAGTTCCAGGACTTCGTAGTCATGCCAGACATCCTAAAATTCCGAGATCGAGCCGAACGATGTCTCACAGCCCTAGGGAATATTAGACAGAATCCCAGAACTTTACGCTCGTTCCAGACGGAGTTCCACGTTCCAGGGATGATATTAAGCGCAGTTCCACTACCACCGTCTTCTTGCAATCTCGATTTATCTAAAAATGCATATTCACGTTAGTTTCTAATATGGAAATAACATAAACTATTAACCTGTAACATAAACTATTTCACGGTGATTAAACATTGTGATGCTAAATGAATCAACAATATATTTGGAACTTACACAGATTAAAATTGTTATTTTATTTTGTAAACTTCTTTTGTAAGTTTCGTAATGTGTAAAAAATTAAACCTTAAACTTCTTCCTGGATATAAAAAATACATTTTTAGTTAGAATATGAATAAAATATATTACATTTTTATTTTTTATGTTCTTTTAGAACACAATAATAAATTGTGTTAAAATTTTTTATAGAACTACAAAATAAATAAATAAATAAAACAAATAAAAAAATAAATTATGGAACTTTTTTTATTATTTTGCTCTTTTAATAATCGTACAAATTTTTCTTGGCAGTAAAATTCCATTTACTTGATAATTCTGCTATTAATTCAGTGTTTTTGTCCAGGTGTGAGTGTATTATAAAAAGTATTAATACGAAAGTTTAATATTGTCGCAGCCGGCCTCTCAGAATGCATTATGAATACTTTGTTAAAGAAACCTCATTAAACGTGAGAACGTACACAGTATAGAGCCAATAAGCGATAAAAGAACTTCCCCTGATAAAGTATTTCCAAGATACCAAATACCGCTGAGAGCATACTAAAGAATTAACAGAACAGAAGCAAGAACTTTCACTGGAGACCCTCTTTCAATATTTACGTGGCCATCGATTTCCTGAGTCGTGAGTTTCGTAGTCACCAATAAAAAAATAATTCAAATACACGAATTCCTTAGATTGAAAATATTCAAACATCGAAATTATTGTTTCTATGTGTTTCTATAAAACTTTAACCAATACAAAGCGCTTTGTATTAGTTGACAATAATTACTTATTCAACTATAGAGTGAATTTAATTTGTACTTAATGTATTCAAAAAAATAAAATCCTAATACTAAAGAATTTTATCACTCAATGTTTAGCGATCGAAATCGGCAAACATTGTTGTTTAATCGTTCACAGGTGATCCTGCAATCATTTGGGAAATATCTTCGCACGTGTAAGGCAACGTAGAATGCTAATATGCTGGCTGATTACTGCTGGACACTCAAACAGGATGTCCCTCGAGTTAAATATTCCAAGAGACCTGCACCACATTTTAGAGTACTCAATACCCAAGAACCCGAAATATCGGGTCAGGTCGGGAATACGAAATTTCTTCGGGGTCGGGATGGGAGAAAATTTCGAGATTCTCGAATTTATCAGGATTCTTGAGAAAGTCGGGATTCCCGAAAAAGTTGGAATTCGGAAAAGGATTGGTAACAAAAATAATAAAAGCCCACGCCTTTAATTATATCGAAAGGTGGCAAATCATCATTCGAGCAATTCCTTCTGTATCTTCTATATCTTTTGGTTTAACAATCTTTCGCGTATCATTTTGTACCAGCGACAAATTTTATATCGATTCAGTTTCTTTTCTAGTACATGTACTTATGTTTCGATGCATATGTTTCGAATGGCGTAATAAATCAGTAGTATTTGCATACTTACAATTTAAAATTCATGGTGACAATGTGTGCGTTCCGCCTTTGTATCGTCTTTTTCTTGAAAGTGTTTCCCAAACAGAGCTTCTCTTTATCTTCTTCCTTTGCACGATATCTTCCGCACTACTTCCTGCCACCACAACTTTACTATCACTATCACTCGACAGTTTTTTTCAAAGATTTTTAATCTATATTAAATTCACACAGATTTTGAAATATACGTCCGAGCTTCCCGAATTTCTCAGCGATACTGCTCAACAGCGTACATAATATCCAAGTACGAAACACGCAGTCACACGTTCGTTTACATCAGGTCACACGATTCTTAAAATCCGTGTTTCCAATAATTTCACTGGCAGAAGAAATTGAACTGTGTATTTACATATTTCGTAGACTGCTATACAGAATTGTAGAGTAGTTCGAGAAACGGTAGCCTCGAAAGATTCTCGAAATTTTCGGGAATCGACTTTTTCGAGAATCCGACCCGACCATCGGATTCCCGATATTTTTGGGTTCTCGCACACCCCTAGTACTCAAGTAGTCAAGTACTACATTGTGCAATTGAGATTAAAATTACGTATCACAAATATCAAATTAATATTGAATAAATTAATTAATAATATTAATAATGTTAATATTATTAAAGAAATTGGCAAACATTAAGTAATAGAATAAATTGAATAAATATTAAATTACTTGCTGTACGAAAAAGTAAAAGCTAGAATTGAAATCACGTAGTACGTGAGAATAAAAAATATTTTGCGGAATACTAGTATAATTCATTCACGACACACTTTACTTTATTTTAGTGTTTATCGATATTTCAAGCTTCTTATTTATCGAGTTAAGTTCCGCTTTAAATGTGCTATTTAAAGTTTAAATTGCTTTTAAAAAAGTATTTTAGAATGTATTTCCCACGACGATCAAAACAAAGTTAAAACTAATAACAATATTTAAAAAAAGAGAAGAAAATACTCGACGTGTAAAAATCATGGGTTAATTTTATCGATGCCACATCATTGTAGCTCTTTTTCAATTTCCTTCTTGTACATTCTCTTTTCACAATAAAATACATCGCTTTGATAAAATTGATTGACTTCGTTTGAAACGGCAATATTGCCGTTTCGTTCACAGTTTATTCTGTAAACTGCACACTTGCATGCGAGAAATGCTTTCGCGTCTTTCGTCGTTCCTCCGAATTCCAATTTAAATATTCAATTGAATCAGCATGCCAGCAAAACGAGATGTTTTGAATAAGTAAACGATAAGTTTGAAATTGCTAACGAAAAGGAAATAAAGACAGAAGAAAGAAGATAGAGAAAATAAAAAAATAAAGAACGAGAAGCAATTTTCCATTGAGGATTTTAAAAAAATTATTACGCGTCACCCAGAGCTTAAAATCAGTTTAAATTATAATACAATTACCTAGTTATACATAGTTACTTCATACATTTTAATTCTCGTAAAAGTGAGACTCTTACTGAACGTCTCGCAGCTGTTTCTTTTCGTTCTTTAACTTCATCAAAGTCGTCACAGGGTCACTGTCTGGTCTTTAATCTTTGTCCTCTTGCAATCAAGCGCTGTACATATAATTATACTCTTTCAAGTATATTACGTAACTGTATAATGTCTCCTTGAAAGTAGAAATAGATTAGAAATGACTAGAAATCTATTTCTAAAATTAGTCGGATACAAATGTATTATTAGATTGCGGATTTTCACATGAGTTTAAAAAAAAATAGAACCTTGATGGAAAATTGTTACCGCAGACACTATATTTTACACGCTTTATTCTTAAGATTTTTCATAAATGCACAGAAATCCGCGCAGTCTACAAATGAAAATTAATAACTTTTATACCAGATATTTCTTTATCAGAAATTAATAACGATCATCTATTTATTGTTCTCGTTAAATTTAATTTCATTTTGTGAAATTATGAAAACTAAACTTTTAAACTTTCTTCTATCCGTTAGTATGTTAAAGAAACTGAACATCAACTAGATAAATAAAATTGAAACGATATATAAATCACGAATAAAATTTAAATTATTATATTTATTTTTTAAAATATGGTTTGTTTTAATTTCTCTGTATCGTTATTACACCGCATCGTATTGATTTTCAATATAGTTTTCCTCAAATTTCATCCAACTTTACAACCTCCAAGTTAGCAGACTGTTAGTTTATGATATTATGTGCATCATATTTCCGTGCTATCAATTGAAAATCGTGCAGATATATTTGCGGTGTGCATGGTTCACAGAGGAATGAATAACAGCGCAACAGTTATAAATATGATGCGTTACAATGTAGGTGTGACGATGGATATTCCGAGAACAACGCGACATTGTGGGAAACTGCAAACGACAAATTGCGGGTTGTGATTTTAACAATCATGCTCGACTGTTGGCATTTAACTAACAAAATACTCGTACCATGAACCAGTCACTTCACGTCATATAGCTTGTCTTAGTTTAAAATCCGCTTGTCATTCTGTTCTAAGAAAAGAAACATTATTTGTAAAAAAAAAGTGGAAGACGTTTAAAAATTAAAAATTATATGTTGCATAAAAAATAATATCTATTAGTATCACTATTTCGTAGTTGCAGTATATACATATTTATATTCTATTATATATTAAGATAATATATCGTAAAAATAATATAAGAACTGATTGTAGAATGTTTTTAGAACCAATACAAAACAGAAGTATTATATTTTAGACACTATATGTAAGAGATGATAGAAATTTCAATTTCTTATAACGATTTTTCAAAATAAAGATTCATACCATTCACTTCTAAAAGTTACATTTTACAAAAGAAATATAATAAAGTATCGTATTTTTCCAAATTTACATTTTACAAGCGAAGCTGATCTGTGCTAATACTTTTGTTCATGGTTTTCACACGCGCACACTCAATTCAAAATATACAATTGCATATATAATCTGGTTAACAAAAACAAAAAAAGGATTATCAAAATGCCCTTCTGTTTCCTTCTGCTTAAATAATTGCATCGCGATAAAAAAAAAAAGATTAAACAAAATGACTGAAACGTGCAGCTGCGTGATGTGTATAAATTATCGTGAAATTCATCGCGAGAGAATTCCGCGCGTAGCTTTTGTTGCTAGCTCGATGTTAAGTTATGCGCGAAAAATAAGACATAGTCGTGTTTATCAAGCGTTGTAAATTGTCGGCGATTACGATGAAGGAAACGTCACGCAGGAAAATTTCAAATCATGCTCAACTTGATGAAACGAAAGAGAACATGTTCCAGGGAAACGAAAATACAATAAATGAAGACACGTCGGTATTTTTGCGTCTAAAAAACGCAAATGATTAATTTTTCGCCCTGGAACCAATCCTATTTAAAATTGTCTTCTTAGAAAAGACATTTATAACTAAATGTTATAAAATCTTTTTATTTACTATTGAAATTATCACTTATCAATCACGATAATTAATGATTAAATTCTGTAAAATATTCTTATCGTCAGAAATTTTATTGTGATGTATAATAAGTCAAATAGCAAAGCACCATAGCGAAAAGCCATTAATTGGCGAGTAACGTTCATCAACGTTCAACAAAATTTTATATATAAATCTTATTAGAGCGTCTGTTCCAGTAGAAGCCAGTGTGCTTTATCACAGCACAAGATAAGAACTTCCGGATTAATACGATGAACATAATAAAAACAAAGCCGTTTGAAAGGTATTTCATCCCAAGAGACAAAGTTAAAGAACGCACAAAGATAAAACAACTTAAACGAATAATCAACTAAATATGAAGTGCTTTCTCACTGCTTTTTTTTTCTTTTGCTCTTATCAGGTTATCGTACTTCTTGTTGACCAATAGAACGGGCTGAAGTAAGTAAAAGAAAAAAGTTCCCGATGAAAATATCGCGGTAAGCTAAGAAAAAGCAGTGGAAGTGTTTCTTCGATGAAACATAAGCTTCGTAAAGTTCTGAAAGAAAAATGCTCGTTAACAAAAAATCTGTGTAACACGATCGAAGTACTTTAAACGATATTTTCACAGAAAGCAATGTTATTATTATTTGAGAAAAAATAGAACGTGACAAAAAGAAAACAGAGACAGTACGATTCTAAATTATTATCATACTGAAAATCTTTTATATTGATTTCGAACAACTACTGAACTAATGTTCTGCAATATATTTGAAGTTAAATATCAGGATAATTCTATAAGTTCATAAATTACGCATATAATATTTGTAAATACTGTATAGTATTTGTAAATGATTTTTATCGTATGTAAATAAGTATCCTCAAATGATTTGAAATATATACATATAACGTCCAAGCAAAGAAATTGTTTCAAATTGTTAAAAAAAAATTTCTAAACTGTATTTAATTTCCGTCACTGTACTTGATACTTGAAGAACGAGCTTTGTATAAAATTAATTGAATACTTTATTAAAATTAAACAATTTTCAGTATTAGAATTATTAGTAATATATTATTTACTAACAAAGATACATGTAACAAACCATCAAAGTTAATTCTTCAAGCTGTTAATAATAAATTTATGCAATTCATATAATTCATATAACTCATATTTAATTTACAAATAATTAAAGCAACGATATTATATTATTATATTAATACAATTAAATTTTATGTTATATTATATTAATACAATTAAATGATATTACTGTATAAAAAGAAATGCTCTATGAAATTCTTTGATATTACATAATATACAACCATGATTCTAAATAAAATTATAAGTGCAAAAATTTCATAAGAAATATGAAATTAGTTTGCACTGATGTAACAAGATATATATATTATCATATATACATAATAAAAAAAGATATAAAATTAATATTAAAAGAAATTATTTAGACCTACTGCGTAAGTGAGGTCAAGTGAATTACATGATCAGACCAATTACCAGTTAGTACATTCAGACTTGTCATCGCATATAGAGTAAATATGTATTGTTACTTTGCATTATTTAATAACCATCTTTAATAATCTTTAATAATAGCTTTGAATAATAACTTTTAGAATAAAAATAACCTTGAATGATAAATGAGTGAACTAATAATCAAAATAAAATGTATACTATGTTTATTTGTTTCTTAATAGACATTGTACTTATCAAGACATATAATTGCAAAATAAATGTTATTTCCAACTTAAATCATTTAAGAAAAATATACAATAAGAGAAAACTAATATTTTTGTGCTTAAACTGCAATTATTGAAAATTTTAAAAAGTTAATTTCATTATATTCTTTTGATCTGTGGCACAACTGGTTAAAAAGAACGCTAATGACATTTAAGAATAATGAATGTAATTATGATCATATACATAAGTGTAAAATAGAAATTAATGAAAAATGTTAAGAAAGAATGTTACTATACAGAGTACTTATATTTTCATAATTACAGATATTACAGATCTATTCTACGAGTGAAGATATAAATATCAGCAAAATACGGCTATAGTTATTCAGAGAACATGAATTTTAAGTAGAAAACCGTATTTCCAGGAAACGAATTGTAACGGCCTATAGTTCCTCGAGTACAAGTTTCGAATACTGACTCGTACAAGCCGCAAGTGGCTGTGCGCCTAGCATCGAAGTCTAGCGATCTTCTCGACGTTAAGCAGAGTGCGGAACACTGCTAGGATGGGTGACCGTCCAGCCTAGCGAGTAGTTATAACAAACATCTGAGGTGTAAAGGATCGCTGTTATCAGCCCCACTGATGAGTCTAGACAGCGACTCTGATACGAAACGCAGAACCTTCCATCACCTTACCTATTTACCTTCACTTTCCTTCATCCTTACACCATCAACACTCCTAGCCCTTCAAAATGAATTCCATAGATTACATTTATGACGTTTCCCAACGTCTTGGAGTTCCCACATTACTGGGGATCTTCGCGTTCAGGTCCTCACTTCAATTTCAATTCCATTCTCTCTCTTCAGCCAGTAACCAGGGAAAGGGCCCCTCATTTGGTGTCGAATCCCCGCAGTGTTCATTCATCATATACAAATTCCAAATATATTTATCTTCACAAGCCGCAAGTGAAGATAGCTTATAACCAATGGATCGATGACGATCACTAGATTAAGCATGCAGCGTGTGAACCGGCCCTAGGATGGGTAGGTGACAGTTTTCATGCCCAACCTAGAGAGAGACCTTCATCTAAGCGTTTGGGGCAGGAGTCGCCACTATCAGCCCTATTGATGAGTCCTAGCCCCGACGGCTCCAAAATGAAATGCAAAATCCCCTCCTTTTACCATCATTATCCTGTCTTACCGACATGATTCCAAAACTCTCTCGCGTTCGTGGGACCGATATAAGTCCTGGCATTTTTATAAATAGCAGAGCCCCTCCCCCTCTTGGGACATGTAACATTACAAAATATTACACCTCATTCTTTCACGCTAGAACGCTATTGCAAAAAACTATTCTTATCCATATATCAACTTCGATTAAAATAGAGGTGCTTCGGTATTTCGCGCGGCTTTCTTTTTTTTCTCTACAATGCATATAAACTTCCTTCCCCTATACTGCGAATAGGCAGAAAGCTATTATCTCTTGCCAGAATTTTATTTTTCGATTTACAATTACATTTCTATAAATTCTTTGAATTTACTCTCAATAAGTAAAAACATGTAGAAACACAATGTAAGATAACAAAAAAAGTGTGAATATACAATAAAAATTATACGTTTACGCCGTACTTCATGTGAATTAACATTCGAATTAAGTATCTTAAATTCAAACGCCAATCCTCGTTCGCATGTAATATTGAAACATATTAATTTAGGAAAAGTAAGATCATTTTAGCTGATTCAAGACAAAATCAACTTTCAGCAAATGCAACAAAGAACATTCTCTGTAGAAACTTTTGATTTCTGTAACAGCTTTTTATTTTTTTAACTGTTACTCATATAGCATTATTATAGTGTATGTCAAATATTTATAACGTACGTATAGTGATACTTCGTTTACGCATTGCTTTTGTAATTTGTATTGTTCGACTTGTCAATTACAACTGTTGGTTGTGTAAAATCGCTGTAAAAGAAGAAATAATTTTATTTTCCTTTAATGATATAGTTTAATTCATGTGGATTCATAGTAGAAAATTACCTTGTTATTGAACACTTTAAGCTTCAGGTGTAGCTAAGGGGGCTTCTTTCTTTTCATCGATCGTAACAGCTTCTTTTTTATCACCAGCTGCTTTATCATTTTCATCCACTTCCTTTTTTGGAGCAACCTTAAATGTACGTAATTGTATATGTACATTTAATGATTACAAGAAAAAATTTCCAATCAATAAACAACTTTATAATTTTTTTTAGCTAAAATGATCTTACAAACAACATGGTACAAATGTATAAAAAAAAAGATCTATAATAATAGAGTTTCACATTCTTTATTTGTTACACATTCTTAAAAAAAAAAAAAAAAGAAAAAATGGTATATAATAAATTATATACTGCATATACATTATTATTATGCTACATATATATTATGCTCATATATCTACACATAAGTCAAATTATACAACTGCACGTTATACAACTGCAACATATTTCATAAGTTGTTGATAATTTTAGATTAATATTTATACAACTAGTGTGCAATACCTTTAAAAAATTACAAAATATTAAGTATACTATGGAACATATTAATCCATATGAGCTAACTCTTATATTACAATTAAAATTTAAGATCAAATTATGATGTTATTAAAACATCATGACCTATTGTTTTAGTACATATATGTTTCATATTTTGCAATCCACTGAGAATAATTTTGGTTATAAATAATATATTATTATGATAACGTACATGCACTAGAATAAATGTACTTTTATAGTTTTCTATACATTATATATAAAGTTTAAAGCTTCAAACGTATAATAGTTAATGTTATTCGGTGTCATAATATACCTCCTCTTTACTAGCTTCATCAAAGTTCTCCACTAAATCTGGCACCTCGTCATCTTCTTCCAAAGTTGATTTACCAACTGTGCTTCCAGAAACTGTACTTGCTAGTCGTTTCAACTGTGTTACACCTTCAGGACCCAATTGACTTATTATTCCAGGTAACATGTCAGTTATTTGTTTGTTCTCGCCATGACCAGTAATGGCGAATGTGTTAGCAGATAAACTAGCCTGGGCTTTTGGATTGTTAAAGTGTATGACGGTACCATCATCCTTAATCATATTAACCTCTTCTATACCAGGAATTGTATTCACAGACAACTTTTTTAAACAACTTTGTAACTTCTTATCATCTGTAGCAGCAGTGGCGTGAACAACCTAAAAATGTAGTTAAACAATGATTTACGCATATATAAGTAAATGTATCGTTCACACAGGAGAATTTTTTTCATGTAAACTCTTATACTTCAATGCAGGATATTTCTCAAAAATATAAAAACTCATTTTTATCGATGATTTTATGTCAAACTTAATACAAAGTACAAAATCGAAATCAAAGCTCAAGTCTGTAGCACGAGAAAACAAGAAAAACAAAACAGATGATATAACAACATTATTAAATAAGGAACACAAAAATAATTTAACCAGGCAATTAAAACGTGTCTTACACGAATTACAAAGCTTTGGTATTATTTAAGAATAGCGATTGATGGTCGTGAATCGAACAACACTTTTCGAAAGTAGGCAGATCTTATTGTTTAAATGACACTTGAAATGTACACTTTGGTAAACTTTTGAACTCACGACACGCTGATAATCTTGAGAATTCTGTAAACTTGTGTTAACTTTCGGAATAAATCTATATACCTTCTTCTTGCGTCTGGGTGTTCCCTTGCCGCCGATTCGTACTTGAGCTTGAAGTTTCTTCAATTTTTCCGGATTCATATTAACCTGTCTGTACAACGATCAGATTCTTGATCACCAAACTTGGACAGATTACAAATCTGACTCAAAGTTTTATACGACAAAATGAATTAAATACAACCGGCAAGCAAACACGTGCTCCCTGTTCGCCGAAAGGGTCAAGAAAATGGAAGTGTACGCTTCTTTAGCTCCTACGTCAGAGATAGCTTCCGGCAGGCTAATACTTCCGTTTGAATCTTAACTCAAAACACTTCACAATTAATTGTGAATCACATTGTTCACACATGAAGTTGATACAAGACGATTCTATAAATCAAAATTTCTTGCCGACAACATTTTGCTGAAACGATAGATTTCTTTTATTAAGAAACCATTGTTTCAATGATAGTTCTTCTGAACATGGAGGTTATAGAAATCATCGTGTTACAATATACGACTTTGAAGAAAAAAAAACTTTCTAAATGACCCTGTAATAGAATTTGAAAATGTTGTATTGTAATATTTGGAAAAAATCATTACAATTTAATAGAAATGAACTATCGAATAAATGTAACAATAAAAAATTGTTCCGAGTTATTCGAAAATTGACCAAATTTGATACAATGTAAGGCGCGAACGTGAATTTCAAAATTAAAAGCTGCAATTACATTTAACATAATTACTGTTAACAAATTAATTGTTCATTTATACAAATGTAAAAATGGATAGAACTGTGTGGTTCAACATAATATTTTCATAACAATTCGAAATTTTACCTGTTATTAAAATATTTTTAAATTTTATTGAAATTTTTAAATTTCAAAATTGTATGAGAATGATATTTTTGTTATATGATGTAAATTATATAATACATATCCAATAAAATTATCTAATATGCTGAAAAAAAACAATTACAACTGCAAATATTTTAGATATATAATTTATTTTAAGATTTAAAACAAAGAAAGTTTTGTTAAATAATGTAAATATGTTTTAGCTCTTAAATAACAGCATTCAATCTAAAGTATATATTTACAATATATCACATTCTTATACAATAATAATTTAGCACACTGTTGACAATAATATTAATATAATTTTTGTAATGTTCAGCTCCAATAAATTAATTAACAGATATATTGCATCGTGAATTCTTTTAATGCACAGAAGATACTGATAATGTATTAGATCATGTCATATAAAACATTGGATTTTTATAAACATTTATGTTGGATATTTTTGAAAATTATGATTTTAAACAAAATAAATCATTTGCATCTACAATATTTTTCCAACGGGATTCTAATGAAAAAATACCCAAAAAATTTTTGATCAAAGAATAGCAACCGGAAAACACAAATCCAATATTCCTCCATTAGGTGACACGGCCTAATAATATAATCATTCTTTATATCACAAAAATATGAATCGATTATTCTATGAAATATCTCGATTTCTCTAATTTTTATATTTATAAAAGGACACAATAAAATTAGATCAGTCTTTAATTCTTTAATTATTAATTTAGAAACTATTTCCAAACAAAAATTATTTATAGTATTTTCAATCACCTTGCGTAAAAGTAAAAATATTCCATCCATTATCTTCCTTTAACCCGGGATTACCCACCTCGGGGTCTAGCGCAGGTACATCCCGGCGACTAGACCCCCACGTGGGTAATCCCGGGTTAATCCTCGCGTAGCCGACACCGGGTCACCGTTCACCCAAAACTTGAATCGCAAAAAAGATCCAGATGCTATATATGTGTAGGCAATGATAATAAATGTGCCAAATGTTTACGATTTATATGCAAAGAACATGCAATAAAACATAATAACGTTGTATGTACGCAGTGCACATAAATAAAAAATATGTTTATAAAAATTTTACATTTTTTAAACAAACTCTTCTCCTTCCCATATTATAAATATTATTAGATAACATCCTGTACCAAAAAGTTAGGTATAAAACAAGTAAAAATTCAGCTATATCACTCAAAAGTGACCCAGTGTCGGCCTGCCGCGTCGCTCATTTACGTCGACTATTCGAGAGTTAACTAAAATCTGATATATTAAATTATTTATTTTTCGAAAGCAAAGATTATAGTAAATTATCTCATAAAATGATTCTCGTTTGTTTTTGTCCATATCTTACTTCATCAATTATTAGGAAAGTGAAAATTTTATAATATAAATACAAATATATAAAATTTAGTAATTCTTTAAAAGTGCTATTTTCCTCCATCTATGGTTAGTCTCATTTTTCACATGACCAAATTCAAATCGAATTCTGAGCTCACCAATTTTTGATATTGGTAAAATATCTGGTATCCATTCTATTAAGAATGGTGTTGGTTCAACTTGATTTGGAGAAGTATTTCCTATAAAATAAAATGAAATATTTATAACATTTATAAATAACTAATGATAATTTTTAAAACATATAATAATTTGTAAATATATAATTATATTTTTTACATGCCTAATACTTACCAACTTTCAAATATGTTTTTAATTCTAGGGGCTTAATCAACGCATTATTATTGGTTTTTTTATATCGATCTATTTCCGTTTCTTCTCTTTTATACAATTCATACGTACCATCTGCGTTTTGAACAAAACTTCTTGTGATTTCCAAAGGTATAAGCGGCGTTTCAAAAATACTTTTAACATGTAAAATATTAGTAATTTGCCACGTATATTTGGTAAAAGTACCTAACGGTACACCATCTTTCCTAACAAATGCCGTTGTTGAATTTGGCAAACGTTTTTTTTTACCACCACAAGATATTCTTTCTCGTAAACAATCAAAAAATATTTGTGGTACATGAAATACTAAAGGATCTGGTTTTCCATCGAATTGAAAATGCATAGTCTGATTTATTCTTTCTGTTATCGATGCAAGCCATTTAATGAAAGGTAAATTTATATTAGCCTCGTCCAAGTCTTCACAAGGATTTTGATATTTTTTAACAATATGTAATTTTGTTTTAGCTTTCCTTGGTTCTATTGAGCTTAAATTATTCAAACTTGTGCTATTTGTGCTTGTTGGTTTATCATCCCTTTTTCGCTTCGTCGAAATCGGCTGTGCTATACTTTCTGTATTTGATATACTTCCAGTATCATATTGTACTAACATATTCTTATCTACTATTTTTACACCAGTAGTATTTGAAACGGTATTCGTATCAATTAATTTCATATTATTCACATCTAAAATAGCATTTGTATCAAGAACTTTTAAAGTTCCAGTATTTAGTATCTTTATATTATTATCATTTAATATGTACTGACTATTATTAAGCACATTATATTTAGAATCTATACTTGTCTGGTCATTCATTATTTTAACAGTGCTTTCACCAAGTTGTACACCATCTTCATTAATTACTTCTAAATTATTCACCTAGATTTCAAAAAAATGTTAATATTTTAATTCGTCTTTCGATTTTACAAGCAAATAAATAACATAATAATTCTTACTTGTGATATCATATTATTATCTTCTAATAAGGTACGATCACATTCTACTTCAATATTTTCAACAATACTATGTGGTAGAATTGTAGATTCTAAATTCATAGAATCCAAATCTAATCTATTTCCATCTAAACTTTGAACTGTTAAAGTATCATCTCGAAATATTAAAAGATGCGTGTCTGTATCATCCGTAGTTAAGCCATCAAGATCTAAAATTGTTTATGAAATAAATATCTTATTATATTATATTCAAAATATAATTAACATCTTCTTACCAATGCCTACTATTTTATCCTGTTCATTTTGCAATACTGTTGTTAATGGTTTTGATATACTTAAATCATTCTGATCTAAGTTAATGTAATAACTAAATTCTTCTGATAGTTTTGCATCACTAGCAAACGCACAAATACAAGCATAAAAATGTACACAGCGTTTATTTTGAGAAGACTGTGCCATATCTGGTTTATCTCCTACTGTTTTACCTATGCCCTACATTAGTTATTAATACTGTGAATAACATTCTGAATTGTAAATGATATAAATATAATTTGTATTATCAATACTTACTTTAAATGTGGAACAAGAACAAAAATAACGATGCTCAATTCTATCTTTTAATTTTGTAACAAAGAAAGAAAAATGAAGATAACCTAATGGATGTTTTGGTGAAGCTTTACATTTTACTGCCATTATATTTTTGGACACACGTTGTACTAAAGGGCCTGAAGTTTCTGTAGCGAGCAACCAAATTTCTTGTTTCATTTCATTATTTACATTCAAAGATGATAGAATAGAATTCCTTAAAGTTAATGGTTGCGCTTCTGCATAGCATCTTAAAGCTGCCTGTATATGTTGACATGCAGACACAGGTACATCGGACGAATTCTTTTCCTGTAAAAATTGACTACTAAAGCTTCTTTAATTATCAATAGTTATCATTATTAGCATTTACATTATGTTGGTAACATGTATTTTATTATGTGTAAAATACTTACATGACATTTAAGAACACTAGTATCAAAACTTCTTTCACAACTATCAACAAAACATAATGCAGTGGATTGTGAAATAAGTGTTGTCATTTCATTAGAAATTGTGGCATTTATCAGTGGTAATTGAACAAATCCACGATAGTCTGGACCTTTATCACGTACTCTAACAGAAAATACTTGGGCAGTTGTGCCCGTAATAAGTTTACATGCCTCTGTTGATAATTTTCTTTTTTCACCAGGCTCCTTAAATACTGCATCACAATATTTGTTTTTACAACATAAGCCACGAGATCCATTATAAGTTCCACATTTTGGACATTTGCGAATTCCACGTAATGTAGCTTTACCTAAGTCAGATAGTAGTTTCCTCAAACGCTCCTCATTAGACATAGCTAAACAATATTATATTTAATTAATAACATGTAAAATTATCTTACCAAGAAATAAAATATATATATTTGTAAAATAGATTTAATTTGTTAATTTTAAACATTATAAATTTTAATAATGTTAATAATGAAAATACTTAAAATAACAAAACTATGAAAATAAAATATGAATAACAGTTTTTGAATTATTTATTTATACATATATATGTATATGTATGTATCTATGTATATATATCTCAAAATACTACTGTAAACAACACTTAATTTTATAATTGTTAATACAAAATTCTATGATTTACAATGCGTAGAAATCATTAGATAAAAATGAAGAAAATTTGTAGTTTTAAATTAAAAAGAGAAAGGAAGTACCAGTTAACTAAATATTAAATTAGGGAAACAGTTTTACTGAACATTCTAAAGCACTGTTTTACACGACACATTTTATAAATTCTAATCGATATACGAAATTAGAGGTATGAAACTTTTAGCTACTCCTACCTTTCGCAACAGAATTCTTATAATAAGAGAAATAAGTTATATGCTTTTCACTAATAATTATATTACAGAAAAGTTTGCTTCTGATAGTAAATAAATAAAGCTCATCTCAATGCTAAACTGCTACCATTTACGATAGAGGGCATTCCTTTCTGGGCAACGTTAACCCAAATTCACAGAATCGAATAATTTTCCAATTATTCTTACAGTATGTATCACAAGAGCGTGGACGCGATATCATTGAAACTTGGTATCGACTGAGCCGGAGATCGTGGTATTATAAACATATGAATCAGTCTGTTATATGCAGTAGCTTTCAGGCTCTTAGTATCCTCGATTCTGTTGAGCAACATAGTCCTCTTCGAGATGAGTATAAAATACGCTAAACGCTTTGAAGCGGGGTTCTTATGCCATCATTCAAATGATTGTAAGAACTGCAGCAAAATATTTGCATAAGTCCCCTCAATTCGTTGACAAGTGGGTGCAACGTTACAAAAAGACAAAATGTGTGGATGATTTTCCTGATCGAAGTTCGAAGCGGGTTACAACGAAAAGTGAAGATAGAGCGATTATGCGGCTTTATTCAAAAAATCCAAACCTGTCCTTGCGTAAAGGGCAAGCTCTTTTGGCAAAAAAGGGAATAAACATGAGTATTTTAACACTGAAACGTCGTTTGAAGGAGAATAATGTTGCATGGTGTGGCACAGTGTAACGTTATTATAAAATGAGAATCATATTTATTAAAATGTTGTAACATTTTCCAAAAATATTTTTACAATATTTTCCAAAATTATTTTTACAACAATTGTAATACTTTAATATTTGTCCGATAATTAAAGTACATATTTTACACCTCTTCTTTCTATTATTTATTTAAATGTACGAGTTTCAATAAAAAAAAGCACTCTTCCCTTCGAAAAACATTATGTGAAGGCATTATTGTAGCAATATACCATTAAATATTTAAAAATAGCTTATTTTCTTTTTTTTTTATTTATTTATTATTAAGTAAAAAATTATTGAATTAAATAAATTATCTTTCTCATATGTTACAATTAAATTATTACATTATTAAACTATTACAATTTGTATCCATCTATAGATTCAGTGTAGGAAACAAAAAAAAGTTATTTAAATAAAAATTTTACTTTATGTTTACAATATCATCTATGTTGGTATGAGAACAAGTCACATAGCCATGTTTAGCAAAGTTTTGTATCAAATGTGAAGTATGCGCAGGGACCAGATTAATTAAAGAATAAGCGATTAATAATTTGTGTTATTCTGTAAAAAGTATTGAAAAAGTATTAATTAAAAACTATATAATATATATATATAATAAAATATAAATACACAATTTATCTAACCTCTAAATATGAAATAACTTTCAACAATATTGACGACTCTAATTTAGTGAAATTTTGGGAGAAAAGGTTGAATGTAAATAATATTTGTGTGTAAAAATTGAATGGTATTTATCAAAATATTTCTTTAATTTAAACGATTAATATGTTTTTTTTTTGTATTAAACTTTTCATCTCATAATTATTAAGACTATTAACAAAGCTTTTAAATTACGTATGATATCGTTCGTATCTTGAATTTATTAAAATAAATTATTGATATATTAATATGATTTATGAAAGGTGAATTTATAACAATTGTATTGTAAAATAAATACATAAACATGACGGCAGCAATTAAAACGTTATGGAAGCAAGCATTAAACACATTTGAGGAACGTGGCAATGTTGGATTTAAACTTTGTCAAAAGAACTTTGACAAATTACGATACTTGATGAACAAAATTACAGCGGAAGATGTAAATTTAAATAAACAGATACTTGATTTTATTCAAGTACAGCATGCACCAATGTGGGTTATTGACATATTTGAAAATAAAGATTTTGCTATTTCCATCTTCATATTAAAACATGGATTCACAATGCCAATACATGATCATCCTGGAATGTATGGATTTTTAAAGGTATGACATATATATCATTTCTTAATATTAATATTATAATGTATATTATTAATAATTATACTGAGAATTTGTATTTTATGTTAAGATTGTCATTATTTTACTTTAAAATATAGGTAATCAGTGGTGTAGTTCAAATAAACAATTATACTTTAAAAGCAAATGAAGATCATACAATCAGATTGAACAAAGAAGTAATGGCACTTAGACACAAACCAATATCTTTACATAGTAATTCACCTGCATGTACTCTTACACCAAAAGATAAGAACTTACATGAAATCACATGTATTGAAGGTCCTGCTGCATTTCTGGATATACTTAGTCCTCCTTATGATGTAGATGATTCTGGAAAGGGTCCAAGACCTTGTACATTTTTCAAAACTGTTAGTAGTTCAAAGTTATGTACAGATTCACCAGATATAGTGGAGGAAGTTAAATTGGTGGTTATTGAAGGTCCACCAGATTTTTATTCTGGAAGTCTTAAATACACAGGACCACCCTTAATGTGACCTGAAGCATCAAAAAATATTTCTTGTTCTATTTGTTAGAAAGTTTTGCATTTTATTGCATTCATTTACTTTTATAAATGTATTATAAATTTTTAAGGATATTTAAATTCTAATTAAATGTGTAATATTGGTGTTTATCTCTTGTACCTTTCTGCAAGAGTATATAAATATGTATAAGTATACGAGATTGTTTGGGTCATATAAAGTATGCAAATTTTATATTTTATATTAATTTATACTGAATATAGTTGAGTTTTATTTATTGTGAATTTTAGATTGAAATCAATTATAATTTCTAATCACTTGCATTTTTATTGACTTTTGTATGTGAAAAAGTTACCTGTATAAAAATCATAAATATGGAATAATTACATTATATTTACTCTTTCATTGGTATGTAGAATAAGGATGTAAACAAAAAATGTATTATAATACACTTTATATGTAATACGTGATAAACAAAAGCATATGATAATTATTAAATAAAAACAGAAATTTTATTTGTATAAAAAATATAATACTTACTTATATCACAAAATATTTAAGAAGTAGATTTATAGAATAGATTTGTTGTAAATGGATATGCATTACATTTTGATGTATATATTATTTTTTCAACTTAATTGTGTCTACACAGTTCTTACAGACCAAGAAGTTCAATTTTTTCAAGATAATTAATATTTTTAAATTATATATATTGTACTTAAACACTTTACATTAAAAAGAAAAAAGCTTAATAATAAATATATTTATATATTATATAGTTTTTTTTTTCTGTCATTCCCAAATTTTATTTTATAATTATTAATTATTATATATTTATAGATCATTTAAAAAAATACTTTGAATTAATATCTAAAAATAATGGCAAGTAGTGAAATAAAAATAATGAATATGATTTAACTTAAAAAATTAAAATGTAACAATCAATTTATTAATTTTTATCTATATTATCTAGACAGTAGGATTTATTGATTTAAATTGATGTTTACTAATGTCTTATACCTACAGCAAATAAAGCATTTACATAAAATTTTATTTCAAAATTCTTTTATTTAATATATATTAATATATAAGTCAATACCTAATCCAAGACTTATCGATAGTAGAAATAAATTTTTTTTCTAAAGATTGTATCCCTTTTTACATCAGTAGTCAAAATGTGAAGAATTCCTAAAAACATATTTTACCTATTTTTATTAATGCACAAAAAACTCATATCATGTTAACTTCATAAAATATACAATTTTCATCAATAACAAACTACAAATTTAGTATAATGATATTTTCTTCTCAGATGATTCTTTTAAACGGAAGAAAATTGAATTGTATTAAAGGCATCAACATATATCAATTCTTACTTATTATGCAAGGAAGGATGAATGGACATTATTATTATTATTATTTCCCTGATGGTTGAATTTAAGAGACGTAACATTTTCATTTTCTTTCAATTAAATTGTTCTTTCTCAGACAGATAATAATTCGTTAATTATATTTATGTATATGATTATTTTTGTATGTTTGTATGTATGTATGTGTGCACGCACTGGGGATGTAGCTATATAACTTATGTATTTGTTAGACCTGATTAAAATACCCACAAACTTATTACATAAAAGTACACTATAAAGTTTAGTTTTTTTGAACTGAAATGTAATATCTTCAAGAATCTCTTGCATATGTTTATTTAGCTGGTCTGATTGGTTTCAGAATTTTGTTGTCTTCTATATAGTGCAACATTATTTTCTGTATAATCCATTATACGACGTTGACATTGTCTTACATATTGTTGTTGTTTATGATAAATCTTGAATGCACCTTTTATTGTTATGAATGCTATACCTCCCTGCAAAAATACATAAAAGGTTCAGAACAATTGTTTAATTAATAACAAATATATTTGAATACATACAAGCAATGTCCTATGAAAATTAGAATGTATACTTTCAAAAAATATTTTGCCACATATGCTAGCAATACTAGGTAATAAAAGTGCACCACAAAGGATACGAGTTGCTGATACTGGATCACTCATAGGTGGTACATCTTCAGAGTGTGATCTATCATCACTTGAATGACTAGAATAATAAAGACTTATAAATATAAAATATACAATACAATTATTTCAAATTATGTACATACCTACTAGGTAAGAAATGCCTCAAAATAGGAACTTTACATGCATGTCGCCTTAAAAGACTAAGTGCTTGATCTTCCCATCTCAGCATTTTTCCCAAAACTAACATTATTGGTATAGTTGGCAAACCAACTAATAATACCAAAGGATCAGCTTGTTCCATCATAGCTAGACCATCCTTGTGACCAACTACTTGCATTACAGTTACTGCTCCATATGTTACAGCTGTCCAATATATAGATGCAGCAACTATACTAGCTGCAATAAATGGGCAAATTCGGAAAATTACACCATCGATAGTGTCCAATACGATTACTAATGGCCCTGCAACAAATATATCACATTTAACATATATGTAATATACATATATTTGTAGCATATTTATATTGTAATAATTATAGTAATTATATTATAATGACAAATTTAGCAAATTTATAAAAATTAAAATAACTAACCCATATTTGGGTATACAATAATGTATTCTGTATTACACTGTGGACATGCTACATGTGCACCTGCACGTCCTTTTTGTTTTTCATCAACCCATCTCTGTATACATCCTTGATGTACCCATTTAGTTGTGCCACGACAATGACATGGTTTTACCCATGAAGCAGTTGTATCATCTTCATCCGTTGCAAAGCATACCCAACAATATCTTTTACTAAATTGAAGAGAAATATTTTGTCACAGAACATATACTTTCTTCTACATATATTAAATTATATTCTTCTACATATATAATTATACATACTCATCTTCTGTGTTTACTACTGGTGCATTAATTTCTGATTGGTTTGGAGAAGATGGCCCATCAATCACATCATTTGGTTGAGCATTGTTTGCAGATTCTGATAATACAATAGGTAACGGTTCCTCATCAGATACAATTGCTGGAGATTGAGCATCAGGTATTTCTATAATGAAATATATTCATTAGTATCTTAATACATAATATAAGTGATATTACATAATTAAATTTCTGAAATATACGTTACAAAAATTATACTGAATGTTTGCAAAAGTTTATGCCCAATTTGAAAATAAAACACACAGATACATACATTTTAAAGTAAAGAGTTATATCAATCAATTTGTTATTCTTTACTAAGCACACACAATATCTATACTAATAAAACATCCATGCCAAACTACAATAATGCTCCTGCCATCTCTGAAAATTAGGCATAAACATTTGAAATCATTTAATATTTAATATTTTAATTTCAAATATTATTTTATTAATTTTTTTCTATATATGTTACAACATTTCCAAAAATTGAAAAACTATAAATTGTGTATTATTAACAAAAAATACTATTATTAATACATATATAATTATTTAATTAAATATCTATTGATAATACAATAATATTATTATAATATAATATTAATGTATTGATAATAGAATAATATTATTCAATTTTACCATTATTTGATTCATTAATTTGTCTTTCTGCCCTCAGATTTGTGCCAAGTCTTCTTAATGTTTCTTCTATACTTGGAAGACGACTGATATTAGACCTTGCAATACTAGATTCTAGATGTACTATCCTACCAGGTGAATCAAGTCCATATGAAATGTGCGGCAAATTGTTCTCTGACATTTTGTTTTAATAAAATATGATTTTTCAATATTGCATTACTATGTTATACCTAAAAAAAAATAAATGTTATCAGTTATAGAAACATAAAGTTTATCAGTCTGTACAATAGCTTAAATATATGTAATTATATGATGACATTAATGAAATAACAATATATATATATACATATACATATACAAATGTATATAATTATTATTAATTATATCATACTGATACAACTTGCAACAAATTTCAAGGGCATTGCATAAGATCATACATATGCATGTCTACTTTTATTTGACATTAAATTTCATTTAAAAGACAATTACCTTTTCAGACATTTTTTTATTTAGCATATTATATATCTTTATTTCTATAGACACGACGGAAACAAATTTCAAAAAGATATTGAGAAAGTAATATATGCAAGCCTTTCTTCTACTATGTCGGATAACATCGATATTCAATTAAAAAAGAATGTTAATATTGCAAGACCATTTTGTTAACTACTGACACGTCGTGGTGAGGTTGATCGTCCACTGATTAACACATTTCATTGCGGACTAAAGTAACAATATATCGCAACAAACTTTGTTAATGAAATATCTTTAATCAAACAAAGGTTGTACAAGAAAAGTGACACATAGAATTGATATCATATGTTAGTAATGATGCAAATACATTATTGAAATCGAAAGTAATAGTGTCTACCTGAAGCAACATTCATAAATAACCCACTATTACACATTTACAACGAAACAATGAGACCATAGACATTTTTTAAAGTACAATATTAAATAAACACGAGAATAATTTAGTTACGTCGTGATCTTTAATATTTTGCAATTCTAATGGGGAAAAACTGGGAACGTATCCAAATTCACTTTACAAATTGATTTATTTCGTTTTTCAGTCTTATTGGTAACGATTAAAGGTTGCGTGAAATTGCTCCTTATAGTGGCAATATATTACAGTACGAAAGTTCGCCAATGAAATATATCGTCAAACTTCAGAGCAATATCGAACATCTTTCCAATGACTTCTTAACGATATTCTCCAACTTTCCAAACATTGATTGAAATTTATATTCTCCAATCTATTAAAGTTTTTATATATAAATATTCGCAATTGTTCCGTTTACTTCGATTCTCCAGATACATTTTGTTTAGTAATTTCGTCTTTTTTTTTAAGATCCGTGATTTATACTGTTTTATTTTTTTCAATTTTCAGCGCCATTTTTAAAATGATTGTTGTAATAAATTTATTAAATAATTTACTATAATTTAGGTTTGTTCATACTTAATTGTAGTATTCTCATTATTTTCACATGCAGTAAAATTATAATTCATATGTACGCTAAAGTATACATTACATACTTAAACATAATGAATTAAAAAATTTTTGATCTATAAATAATAAATATTTCAACAAGTATGTATAGTGATGTTAGATAAAATATTAATTCTGTTGTGCATAACTGTTGAAAATTTGAATACAATAAGGAATATGTTTATGTTATATTTGTAAATTCAAAATAACGTACATGAAGTTAGTTGCTATTATCTTTTACCGAATAACGTGTATAGTGTATCATGCATACATATTCAATATTTAACTAGAAAATTTAAGCGTACAATGTGTAAAATTTGTATGACATTGTTAAAAGAATAATCAAAATTATCTATGAGTTATACATAGCCGTAGAAACTGTGATAAATAACAAATGTCAAAATGCATCTTGATTAAGTATAAACAATCCATCTTAATGAATATTATCATAATTAATGAATATTATTAATAATTAGTTACAATTATGAATGTAATTGAGTGACTCAAGAAATACGGAAGCAAAATCAGCAGACTGATGCCTATATTGCCAATAGTGAATATGTGGGTGTTTGATAAAGTATCAGATTTTTTGTAATTATAATACATTTACTATTGTTTTCACTTTTTTCATAATCTAAACATGTTTCCCATAATATTTAACCTACGGAAAATTTTAGAAGATGCTATAGGTAAAAATATAATTTTATATATATATATGTATATGTTATTGGTATAATGTAATTTTATGCACATAAACAGAAAACACCGACATAATTTCCAAATAAAAGAGCATAGCATTGTAAGCATGTTTAGATAATAGATTAGTATTTTTTGTCGGTAATAATATATTTAGCTTTTCATACCTTAAAAGAAATTTGTAAATTTCTTATAAAACATTTTATATATTAATAAGAAATGTTATATATTATTTGTCTATTAGATTATGTGAAAATTTTGTATAACAATTATATACAATATTATATTCTTTTTAGTTGAATATATCGACGTGGATTTTACACTCTGGTTATCATGGCTTCTAATGCCACTTTTAATAACATTCCTGCTTCCACTTGTGATTGTAATATTACTATATTTAACTGCATTAATATTGTATGTGTATAAGTTACACAGGTTGGTTTTTATACTTTCAACATGTATTAGTGATAAGTTTTATGTAATTATTTTATGCAATTTTGATTTATTTAATAGAGCTACATTAAGAAATGCATATGGAACAGATTGGAGAAATGCAGCTCGTAATGTAGTAGCTGCAGTTTGGGATGCCCATGGTTGGATTTGGTATGGTATGTTACATATGAAATTAATTAAGTACAATAGTTTTAGATTTTATAAAAATAAATTATATAATGTAGTTTCTGTGAAGAATATATTTATAGATGAGAAATGTAAAATTTGTTATATCTTATCTATCTTTTATAGGATATGAAGTAGTTGGGCTTGAAAATATACCACAAAATGAACCAATACTTTTTGTATATTATCATGGAGCTATTCCTATAGATCTTTATTACTTTATATCTAAAATATTACTTTTAAATTCAAAATTAATTCATACAGTAGCAGATAGATTTCTTTTTAAATGTCCTGGGTGGTCTATCATTTCTGATGTATTAAAAGTTATACCTGGTACAATTCAAACATGTTCTACTATATTGAAAGAAGGTAATATGCTTGCTATCTCACCTGGTGGTGTGTATGAAGCTCAATTTGGTGATTCTTACTACCAATTAATGTGGAAGAAACGAGTGGGTTTTGCAAAAGTTGCATTGGATGCTAAAGTGGTACGTTAGTTATATTTCCTTTTTATATTTGTATTATTTTTAAATATTATTTTTAAATATTAATATTTTTGTAACAGTGCATAGTACCTTTATTTACAAAAAATATTAGAGAAGCATTTAGAACAATAAGTTGGGGTAGAAGAATATGGTTGAGAATATATGCTGCCACTAGATTTCCTTTTGTACCTATCTTTGGTGGTTTTCCCGTAAAATTGACAACATATGTTGGTAAACCAATTCTATATGATGAAAATCTAACACCAGAAGAGTTACAAATAAAGGTAAGAAATATCTAAATGTTTTAGTTTTACTGGACTTTAAATAAACAGTATACATACATGAAAAACATGTTTTCAGGTTGCTGATGCACTCAACAATTTAATAAATCAACATCAAAGAATACCTGGAAGTATATCATTAGCTTTATTAGAAAGAGTATATACTGCAGAGAAAAGAGAATCATAAGTTTTAGTATTTACTCAAATATTGTATCTCAAATCATGGGTATTTAAAATGTTATGCTTTTTTTGGTTTAAAATTTTATATCTTTAATTTATGGTGCTTTAGTAATATTTAGTAGTGGGAGGTTCTATTAAATTTAAAGTTAATTTTTCGATTATGCAATGTACTTACTTTTTGTAGTGTAATAATTTATTCGTCCTTTTAATTATTAGATGAATATTTTATATATTTTATTTTAATTCTTAGGTGATATGGAAGTATAAATTTATTCGAATTCTGATACATTTTTTTATATTGATTTTTTATACATTTATATGAATATATTTATATATGTATATTAATATAGATAGTATTAATATTTATAATTCATCATAAAGAAAAATAGGTTTTAATTTATTTTTGTTGCGAGTACAACTCTAACTTCGATTTGTAAATGTATTTTCTGTTATAAGAATTTATTATACAATTGTGAGCTCTTAATAATTCCATATAATATTGTACGAGTACTTAATTATTTTATTTACTATCTTTATACAGTAAAAATAAACATCATAAAAGTCTGTGTTTGTTTTCTTTAATATCAATTAATTATAATATTTCTTTTTACAATAGAAAGACAGCTTCTCTATTTTCTTTTCCAAAATGTGATCAATTGAAGAACTAAATTATATAATTTTTTTATACAACATATCGTGTACAAAAGTCAACGAAATAATTGCTTTAAATTTAGCGGAATGGGAAATGTTCGCATCGATCGTCGTATATTAACCGGAAGATCCGAATCGCAGCGAACCTAACGGCGGCTTTTCCAGTTAAAATTTCTTTCCCGAGGGTATCTTCAGTTACCTTGTTATATTCATTGAACAGCATTGGATCTGGTATCGTTTTTTGCAGGCACGAGACTCGCATTTATGTGAATTCTGCTTAGCAATACAAATCGCCCAGTTTTGTATAATAAAATACACTTATTTCTTCGTTAAAAATCCGATTTTTGTGACATAAAATATATAGTCATGGGCGTGGATGTGGAAGTTCTTTCTCCTGGAGATGGTAATTATTCTGTACACGATATTCTGTGATCTTTCACTTTTCTTTTTCGATTCGCTGCTTCTTTCTTTACGAATTATAATATCGATGATCCCTTTTTTTATTTAACTTCGGCTGATTTTAATTGTATACGCCGGATAGTTTAGTCGACGTGATTCATTTACAACCTGAAAATCTATGAAAAGCATGCTTTCTCGATGACCCATTCCAAATAAGGTGATTTCGATTTTTACTCAATGCGTTCAGCGATTGTATCAAATTTTAGTATTTTACACTTTTCATTTATAATGTAGCGATTTTTGTAACGATGCTTTGTCTGTGCAGGCCAGACATACCCGAAAACCGGACAAACCGTAGTTGTTCATTATACAGGTAAATATTTTTCAAGTTATTTCCTGAAACATTACGTTGATAATGAATTTTAAAAATAACATTTAACATCACGATCGAATCGCATCATATTTATATACACATTAAAGTACATTTTTATTAAATAAAATATTGTTTTTTATAATTTATAGTACTTTGAATTTTATGAAATTTTAATTGTTAAATGTCTAATAGGTACTCTAGACAATGGAAAGAAATTTGACTCAAGCAGGGACCGTGGAGTACCATTTAAATTTAAAATAGGTAAAGGAGAAGTTATTAAAGGCTGGGACCAAGGTGTTGCTCAAATGTGTGTTGGAGAACGAGCAAAGCTAACTTGCACACCAGATTTTGCCTATGGTAGTCGTGGGCATCCTGGAGTATATCCTTTAATACAATATAAACATTTATAATATTATCAATTTCAGAGATAGATGTAAAGCAAAAGCACATACTCAAATTTTATGATTTATTTAAATTATCCACAGTGCAAAAAGGAATTAATATAAATTAACTCTTATATTTTGTGTAATATTTACATATTATGAGTAATTGAAATTAACGTATGATACCAATAACTGCAGTTGTTAATTATTATTATTATTATTAGTTAAATTTTGCATATTTTCAATAATAGGATGTGCCAAGAAAAGTTAATCTTAATGATTATATAAATAATGTTGTAATATTATCCTTGACATAGACACACTATTCCACCAAATGCCGTTCTTATCTTTGATGTGGAATTATTGAAAGTGGAACCTTGAAGAATTTTCCAAGGTGTATTAAATTGATTGCACACATCAGAACCACAGATAACTAAACGCTTCAAATTGCATTATGTTAAGTAGTTATTGCATGAATGGTATGTCTTACATACTGACCTTAATTTGGTTGCTCATAAAAACCAAAAGAGAAAAACGAGAGTTTGATTCTGTTTTTTCCACGATTGCACAATTATATAAACTCCAAATTACAATTGTACAGAAACCAATAATGACCAATGTGCGGTATTAGATTACAAATTTTTACATTTTTACATCGTAACATTAAAATTTACATTACTCGTTTTCGAGGCTAATTGCATTCCTGTTATGAGTAATTGAATTAAATCTTGAAGCATCCAACATGTAATCTGACATCTGTGTTCATTCCAATTACATAGTACTTGATAAACAATCACTTGGATATTTTGTACAAAATCTTTCAATGATCCAAAAGGAAATAATTCTACTGATAATGTAATAGTATGAACCTTTACACAGAAAAATTCAATAAAAAAGATTGTCTTGTCATCAAGTATATGAATATATTTATTAGCCCATGATTAATATTTGTCTTGTAATTTAAATTTGTTGTGTTTATATATACATATTTTGATTTCAGTATATTCAATAAATTTGATTCGTTTCGAATATTTTAATTTTGCATAATAACGGTTTTTTTTCAACTATGTTGTTTCAAAATTTTGTTACATTTTTATACAATATTGCACCAGTGGTGTGTAGATATTAAAATTAATTTTGTTGATGAAATAACATTAACAATATACTACATATTGTACCAATAACATGAATTAATCCGTAAACATGTCAGTATGAGTTACGCAAAAGAAATGTGTTACATTACTACACGCCACTAGTTTACACGTTATAATTATAAAATAATAATTTCAAATTAGTTTTAATATTTTTGATAGTATAACGAGCAATAAATTTACCAAAATTGAAATAATACTTATTGTAGTAATAATTATAATAAATATTAATTATTTATAAAGAAAATACATATATACACAAATGTAATTAATATTATACGCATTAAACGGTATCAAAATGCACTGTATGTACAAATATTGTTCCACAGTTTTTTAACATAAAATGTACAAATAAATTAAATTGATCATAATTGACATATAGCCACTGTAATGTTCAACTTAATAAAAATGTCACAGCAAACAAAAAACTCGTTATTTTAATAAACAAATAGTTCTGGGAAATGTATTTCATAAGCTGGGGCTTGACTTGGTTTAGTATCTGTTGGTGGTCCACCTGGTTGGCTTGTATTTCGTGGATCAACGGATAATGTATTAAATATTTCTGATAGTTTACTTTGTAAAACATCATGCTGCAAAATTATTTATTTTTGTTTTTATACTTTTTACTAATAAGTAAGTTATTCACTATCTTCATACCTTTGGTTGTGTTTTTGATACCAAATCCTGAAATGGTGCGTTTCTAAACAAGTGCGATAATTGTAATCGTTTCTCTTCTTCCACGACATGATTATTGTTATTTTCTGTTAAAATTCGTTTCATACTTTCAAAAGTCAACTCTTCTCCTGGTAATTTCTGAGAGTAGAAAATATAAAAAACGTAGATTATTAAAAAGTTATAAATAAATTAGAATTACATATAAGGAATGTACTTTTTGAACACCAGGAGATGAACCGCCACTATCTAATTCTGTAGCACCAGAATTAATATCGCCTAACGAATTTCGCCCAGCACTGTCGACCCATGAGTGTCTAAAACATTTAATGTTAATAACATCTAAAAAATATTACAACTAATAACATAAGGAAATGAAAACTTAAATTGCTGTAATATTACCGATGTTGTAGCGAGATACTACTGTAACCAGATCCTTGTTGTAGCTTTCCACTATCAAGACCAGCTCCCTTCAAACACTCGCTTAAAACAGTTTGATCAACTAATAGAGCGGGTGCTAATCTAGAAGATAAACCAATATCATACTGAGATTGCAAATCAGGCAAAAGATGAGGTGCTTCCTTTCGTCGTACTTCTACAACCTAAAAATATAAAAATTAATTATTTTGGTTCTTATCAATCAGTACATGTCATGTACGAACCAATGAAATAATAATTTACCTTGCTCGCGTAATCCATTAGCGAAGTAATATTACAAACGTAAGATATTAGTACAAGCAAACTAATGACAATAGCGTGTAAATTAAATTTGAGTGAAACACTGATTTGGCTACTTGTTAAAGCTAAATCTTGAAGACTCAGTACTAATCTCAGTAACTCCAACACTGTTTCTTCAGAAGCCAATTCCACGGCAAGTAATGCCAATGTTGTATATATAGATTCTACGTTTTCCACCTTATTACTTGCCAATTCTAACGATTCGTATAACGCTAAATAGATTTCAGGGCCATGTTTACGAATAAAGATCACGTCTGGTCGGGATGCTTTTTCAATTGTAAGATCAAGTTGTGCAACATTTACTCTGTTCAACAAAAATGATAAAATTATATTTTGAAAGATTCAATTGACGTAAGTAATAATAATATAAATTTAAAAAATTTGTTATTGATAACTTACGTAGGTCTCGCAAGTTTGATAATATTCTGATGTCTGTCGATTAAAGTGTGAAAGATTTTTTGTACTAAAAGTCGCATTTCAGCATCTGCTGCGAGTGACATTCTTAATAATGGCTCCAAAAAACTTGGTGGAAAAGTTGTATTCAAATGTATAGTTTGATATTTTGTGCCAACCTAAAGTGTATTTACACGAACCGTATTAAGTTAAAGATACGCATTATGTGAGATTTTTTTTTTGTGTATATGTATAATTACTTTTAAAAGAGATTTTAGAAGAATACTTTGGAGTAATACATCGCCTTTACCAACTGAAACTATACGATCTGGTTGACTGTATGGAACTTTGCTCATTATGAACATCATAATTTCTATTTTCTGATAATCTGGTAGATGATTTGCAAATTCTCCAAGAGCATTAATAAGAGCCTCTTGATACAATTGTTCGTCATTGCTCGAAGATTGATTTCTTGTTACACTAACTCGAAGATGAGATAGCAGAGAATTTATTATCTCCAAAACAGAGGGACCTTTAAAAATATGTCATTTTATTTTTAATACAAATTTTTTAATACAAATAAACAAATTCTATTATATATTAAAACTTACCAACACTTTCACCAGCTGCAATGGAAATAATTTTAGATAAAGTGTCTGCGATACTCGTTCGAATCTTGGGCGATGATTTCGAATGATCATCAAGATGAGTCATTAATGCTTCCACAACTGTGTAAGAGTATTGTGACTAAAAAATTTCATATTTATTGATCATCGTTTTTTAGATATTCATTGATAAATAATAAGAATATTTAATGATTTCTAACCTGAATGGAAAACATAATTATCCTAAATGTATGGATAGCAAAATAATTAGGGACCCATAACTGATGATTATCTAAGTGTCTGTAAAATAATTTTTATAGAAATTTTATTTGTAATTGTTTATTTGCAATAAAATGTCTCAAGTTTTAAATAAAAAATAAAAAGAAAAAAATACTTTATATGAGAAACACAACCTTAAAACAGGTCGAATAACACATTTAATATGACCAAATGATGCTCGTCCAACAAGTTCTCGCATACAAGTTTCTGCAAATTGTGGCGGATCAGATCGTCCTTCAGTTGGGCTATCCGGAGTTGCATCTTCTTTACTAGAATATCTATTAAAATGAAATTGTAAATATATACATAGTTTGCACGCAATAGCTTTTTCTATCATCACCTTGAATTTTGCATATTGTACAGCAACGAAGGAACAATTTTATCCATGTGTACAGGTTCCCAAATGTTTTCTACCAAATCATCAGAAAGCGTTTTTCTTACAACACCCTAAATTATGAAATATAGTACAATAGATTTTTGGAAGCTACAAATACATATATAATTAATTTCAATTCATAATAAAAAAAATTTCTAAGTATTAAGTGTATAAAAGCCATGCCTGTAATCCCTGAATTCCAGCAAGTCGTATCTGTTTGCGGATTGCAGAGTCATTGTGGTTCGAGTGGCACATCGCAGAGTATTTTGATACAAAGAAATCGTAACGTGTGTGATAAGACGGCGTATCCTGCTCGATGTTGGCAAAGCGGACAAACTAGAAGAAGCCAGCACTTTGTTCAACTGAATTGAAAGATGTCAAAAACACAATTATTTTTCATGTTAATGAATGATAAAATAACATTCAAGAAATAAAACAGAAAATAAAAGAAAATAAATAAATAAATATAATAATATGGTATTTCAAATTGTTTAATGTAACTTACAGACTGGGTTGCCAGTATTTGTAATTGCGGATCCGTAGATTCCAACAATTTCTGCACCATCTTTAAAAAACTCTCAACAAACAGGTTTAATGTCTGAGCATGGCATGCTACTAGAAGCTGATCCATTGCTTCCATGGCAATAACAACAAATCCATTTCTTCTCCTATGTTACAAATACATATATTTCAATATTTTTGTATCTAAATATAAAACTGCCTAATACATCTAGATAAAAGATTAAAATTTTGCATAATAATGATCAATGATGTATAATTATTTATATGACTGGCATATAGCATAAGTAAACAAGAATTAATCACATGAATATGCACTTTCCATAGCTATTAAATTAATAACATGTAATTCTCCGTCGTTACCTGTAAATGTCCCTGGAAGCCCTTTGAAACAAATATTCTCCAATTCTGTCTAGCTTTTCAGGACTGCTTAGTGAATAGAAGGTCAGCTTTTCCATGTTATTTTTCACTAAGCCATCCTAATAAAAAAAGTATCAATTTATAAAAGAAATACTGAATATTAACTTTATATTATATAGATTACATAGAAAGAAAGACTGATGTTTTAAACTTAAAATCAATAAATGAAAAGTGAACTGGGTATTAATAATTTTATCGTCCAATAATGTATTAAAAATAATTATATCATGAGATGCTTTTTCCTTTTATTTATGCGTGTAAATACTTTAATAATAACACGATACTATATATAAATAGAATAATACCAGAATTAGCACGAAATTTAATTTTAAAGTCAGAAGAAAAACTAGAGAACAACAATCATAGAAGTCTACTGATGTTTTAACAAATATGTTCAATTACTCAAAAAAATTATTATTTTTATTATCATTATTTTTTTATATTAAATAAAGCAACTCCTGTTTAAGAATATGAGAAATATGAATTACTTAATGAAAATACAATGTCAGGTATTCATTATGGAAGATAAGGATTATAAGGAATTGTGAATAATTTTGAACATAGAAAACGTAAGGCTCACCTGAGGATTTACTGGAAAAATATTGTCAACAAGTCTTTTATATCGCGGGCGTAAGGCTGAACAGCACCAACAACAACCTGACAGAAATACAAAGAAAGGAAATAAATATGGTAGAAGAATGTGTATCCATGAAATGTATCAGATGATCGGTGAAAACAAACTAAGTAAATATGAAAGTGACATCTCAAGAATAAAATTCGTGCTTCAAAATGAAATAATATTTACCAAACATTTCGTTACAAGCGAATCAGTACTGTACACTCGAGGAAACTTCGATCGACTGATAGAACCAATAGAATGTGTACTTTTAGTCACTACCGAAAATCACTACTGCGATTTGCTGTACGCAGACTTATTATTTTACGAAGCACTGCTATTGATCTTTGCAGTAATTGGAATATACGCGAGCATCAGTTACAAATAAATAAATATTTTAGATTTTGTCATACACGAATTTTACATTCGTCTTCAATGAAAAAATTTTGTCGTATGAATTTAAGGTCGGTAATGTTAATCTCGTTCTTGTCAACCAGTGTTGCTTAATTTCAAAATGCAGGAAAGAGTTAAAAGATGGCAATACGATTTACTTTTACGTGGCGGCGTTTTTAAAAATGCGCGCGCCGCCACATTTATAATTTTTTAATTACGCCCAACATTAAATTTAAATTGAAATTAGTGCTAAAAAAAAATTTTTTTTTCATAGATTTAAATTTTACATTGATCTCTTTGACATTTTCTTATTTAAAAATGGAATACATCATTAAAAAATTAAACAATTATTAAGAGAATAAATATTTTCGTAAATTCTACGACATTATTATTCTCAATGCATACGATTATTGCGAATACAATATAGTACAAGTATAATATCAATATAAATGTGATATCAATTACTAGAAGGTTTAATATTTTATTCATGAGAGAATCGGAGAAATAAAATGAACTGAAATAAAGTTAACATACGTATTAAAATATTTACATTAAAATGTATGATGTTCCACTTATTACACTTAATACTCGTTTCAACGCCATCTAATTTAAAAATGAAAATAGTTTTCTACACCTCATTGCTCATCTCTTGAAAATTGCTTATATTATTTTTAATTTTAATTTTAACCGATATTTTTATAAGCTTATAAGTTCTCCAAAATACTTACATTGTAAATTTTTGATCGAATTTTGAGCGTGCATGTGTAATATTTTATAGAATGAAAGAACAATCAATTCTCATTACTTGTTTCAAAATTGATCAATAGTAAGTAATTGACTAAATTAAAATTTCGAACACGATTCACGGATGTATTTATATCTACTGATTCCAAATATTATTGCTAAAATCAATCAATTGATATAAATTTAGGATAATCTTTCTTACACACATTTACATATATTTAGAAACTATATAAGTAGATAGTCTGAGGATGAATAATTTTTCTGTTGTGAATTCAATTCACTCTTGCAGATTACAATATTTCATTGCATATTTAGTAGTTATTTAAAATCAATTTCATCATAAACAATATAACAACAAACGCAATCGTTAATATACTTCACTATTACTGTTAAATACTATTTTATTTTGAATAAAATAAATAGAATTTAAAATTAGACAGAATTAAATAGTTTGTATATTAATATTTACTTGTGACATCGTAATTAAATTACACGTTGTTAAAAATGAGGCAACTAGATCGAAAGGGACTGTATTCTTCTCTGTTATAACGAGACACAATACGTGTATTCAAGGCAAAATAAGGGGAAGAACTATTTTAAGGTAAAAGCGTGAACGCTTGTCAGCTAAACCGATTTAGGATGACAAGATGTTCCGGATGTTGACACGGGGCTTCGGTAATCAATATCAGTCTATTCGCACGTTCGTAAATGGCGGCGAGAGTGAGAATCGTTTTTAGATCTTACTTGTACTTGGAACGCGAAAGTCAATTATTATTATTAAGAATTTAATTTAATCAAGTTATATCGTACTGCAAAATTAATGTTACTAGAAAGTTAATATAAACATGAGTCTGCACATTTTTTATTTGTTTCCTTTTTTGGAAATATTTTGTCGAACAACTATAGGTAAAAAAGATAATGAAAAAAGAAGATTTTATTTAAACACATTGTTACATAACTTAATAGTTTACACCAGGGATATAAATAAAATTCTCGCGGTTTTTCTCGGGAATATTTGCTTTAATAAAAAACAAACGATATAAGATTTTTAATTGCATATAATAAACGTTAAATGTAGTTCCATTGAATATTAATATTGTATGTACTTCTATAAATTTATTTTAAATTGTTTCAATATATTTCGTTCTAGATTTTTAACTATCCATTTCTATGTGCAGTTATTTTTTGTTATAGATACAATATAATCACGGATATTTGACAAGCTTTCAAACTCAATTTTCTCACGAAAGAAAACTTTTTATTTTAAATTTAGAATAGAATAGAATCATCGTCGATTTTACTTGTAATTGTAACTCACCATGTACATGGTATGTATAAAAAAATTACATTAAAGGTCAAGAATGAGTATTGAACAGAAATAATACAAAAGAAACGAAGGAATCAATTTTGTTTCAAGTATCATGTCCTTGTAAATAATCTCTTAAGAGATACTTGAACCAGATCGTACGAGTGCAGTCGATTAAAACAACTGCAAGTTAATATGCAGAATATCGACAAAGTCCGTGCAAAGTAATGAGTATTACAAGTATACACCGATACAAGATAAATCGATAGACTTATATCAATGCCATCATAAATATACAATTTTCGTTGTATGCAACGGCAAAAGTTTGAAAGAAGGAAAATATTTACATATTTTGCATTCCTCTCTTAACTTTGTTACCGAGCAATTAGCACACTGGTTCATTTATGTTTCATTAATGTACAAATATCAAGTGCGGATGCAAAGTGTGTCAAGCATACGTAGCAACTGTTGCGACTTGCGATAAAAACCGTGCAAAAGCACGTGAGCCCATCAAGTTTAATCAGTTCACTCGCGAACTCTGCGGAACAAAAGTCTGAAAAAGTTAATTTTACTTGGAATTCACAAGGAATGACATGCGGGAATTTCACGAAGCGAATTTATTAATTTATTAATTGCATAAATTTATTAATTTAATTACTTCAAGTACTAAATAAAGTAAAAATGTAACGAAGTAGAAAAATACTTGCATATATTCCAATGAGATATCCCTGTGCCAGACTTTACACTTTCTATTCTTCATAATATCAAATTTTATAATTTCGAAATTATAATTTTTACAATTTTTGCAACAACTAAAGATACCAGAATACATTTATCGACAAATTTTGCTTCACTCAGCGTCGTGATTCTGAATTTCACTCAGCATCGTGATGGCGAAATGAATATTCCGTCTTTTGAAACCTTGTGAATTTGCACAAATGACCCGCAGTACCCGTTACTTTATCGCAGAGTGATAATTTATACTCACAGCCTGGGTCAGTGCACTTCCGTACGAGACTCTCGAAAACGTCAGGTACCTCCGTCTCGAGGCAACATCTGATCATAGCCATCTCTTCCACCAATCTCCCATCCCATGAGTATTTTCACCAAAAAATCTACTAGGATATACAATTTTTGTGAGATGAATTTTTTCTTTTTTTCTTTTTTTTTTTTTTCTTTTTTTCTTTCCTCCAACGTTGGCTGA